GGAGAGTGGATCATGGATTGGCAAAAGGATTTAAGAACCCCTGGGGGAAAGTTGTTTATTCTGGGAAAAAAAAAAAATCTGGAGAGGCTGAAATTCCTACTCATTAAGAAGCTGGAGTAGCAAGTTGGATAAATTTCCCATAGGGTAGGCTATTTCCCACTTAAATGTGAAAATACTAGCATCTATAGGATTATTTATAGATTTATAGATTTATAGATTTCCCTGCCTCCATCCACAATCCTTATTCCACGTAAAGATAATTATTAGCTTCCTATACCAACTATTCAGCTTTGTTAATAATAACAGAATATCTGTCATTTTGAATAGATTACAAAACATTGATACAAGAAGTTGCAAAGGACGAAAATAGACAATGGCTTAGTATTCATTCTTCCTTCAGAATGTGGAATACATATTCATTGTTGTCTAGCTATAGAGACATTCCTTTACATTTTGATATTTTACAGACATAGGTAAATTATGTTCTTCATTTAAACAAGTTAATAAGCTTACCCAGGATAGCCAAAAAATATACTCCATCATACTTTAATATTTCTCTTTTGCTAAAAAGCATTCTATGCCACTAGTGAACAGACCAAGCCCTTACATTACTTGTCTTCAATAAAACATTATTATCTTTTGGCATCCTCTTGCACTAGGGGAAATAAAAAGTCACATGTGGAGAAGTTCTAAATGTTAGACAGAAATGATCCTTGGAGGGCAATTTTTATCCTCCACGGAAGTATTGCAGACTTCTTCCATTAGCATAGTCCCAGGGAGCAAAAGGTTAGGGAACTGGGACTGCCAACTCTACCTGAACACATAAGTCAACATTTCCTCTAAGCAGCGAGGGAGTGTGAGAGTGCACCCACATGTGCATTAAAGTATCTGAGACGAGAAACAACAATTGTAATATTTTACTTTGGAATATACTGTACAGATGGTGACATTTTGTTTGTGGTTGTAGGGAAGAAAGTAAGGCAGTTTCCAGATTCCCCCCTCAACACCTACCATTTGGCATAGGATATGGGAGGTTGAAGAAAACGGAGGGATTTTTGCCTCAGTTGAAACAGCTGGAAAACAGATGGAAGCTGGTGTGCAATTTGCCAAAAGCCTTGTCCAAGTCTCCCACCCATTTTCCACCAAAGAAAAACTAGTCAGGTGATAGCAGTGGAGGCCTTAGGGTCAGCAAATGAGGGGCTTCAGGACATGTTGGGGAAATAAAAAGAAAAAGAAAATTAAAAAATCCGAGTTTATAGGAAATACAAGTCCAGAAATGTAGTTCCAAGGAGCATGTTTTCAATAGGAAGGAAAATGTGGGAGCAACATGGGTGAAAACCACAACAGAATCACGGATACACGGATGAAAGTGTGCACAGAATTAACTGACATTGGTGCTACCTCAACTGTTGCCTTTCTCTCTCTTAGGTGATGAATTCAGGAAGCACACACCCACTCTTTGTTAAGTGAGGTACAATGTCATTATTCCACGTGCAATTATGTTAAGTGTAAGTGTGCACAGTTCACATTGTTTTAGTCACTGGATTTTACTCGCTGAGCTACTTTGGTTTGGAATTCAGGCATTCAATAAATTGCTTTTGGATTTAAATGTTGAATTATAGCCAGACTTTTGTTTAAATTCAGTCACTGGAGGGCGCCTGGGTGGCTCAGTTGGTTGAGCAACTGCCTTCGGCTCAGGTCATGATCCCGGAGTCCCGGGATCGAGTCCCACATCGGGCTCCCTGCTCGGCGGGAAGCCTGCTTCTCCCTCTCCCACTCCCCCTGCTTGTGTTCCCTCTCTCGCTGTGTCTCTCTCTGTCAAATAAATAAATAAAATCTTTAAAAAAAAAAAAAAAAAAAAAAAAAAAAAAAAAAAAAAAAAAAATAAATTCAGTCACTGGATATATAAACCTCCTGTTGTATATTTCTAGTTACAATGGGCATGTATATAGATCCACTCCAAGTGACCGTTCTTACAAGCCTTGGCCCAAGTTCTGTGCGCTTGTGTATTTGTGTGTGTATGTATGTATTGATTTTGAAGTACTTTTGAATACTACAAAAGTTAAAGTATTTCAAAAATAACAAAGTAATAGGCTTTCCTCAATGTGAATTTGTTCATTCATGCTTATATAAGGGAATGTGTTGACCATGAATCATTCAAATTGAATTGCTCATGAGAAAAAATGCTCTGGCTTTGCTGTCAGTTTCCAGAGTTGCTTTACAGAAAGGAAAAGAGTATTGTCCCCATATAAAGAATAATCATCTGCAGATTTCAGACTGAGCATGGCTCCAGATTGGCAATAATACTTTTGATTCACATGGGAATATAGATCCTGTGAGAGGTACTTATCTGAGTATTCTAGGCTGTGACTGCATTTGCAGTCTGCCAGGACGGCCAATGGAAACATTAAATGAAAAAAAATTCAATCATCAGGAAGATTTGCTCACGCAGAATAGCTAAATGCTGTAAAGATGTAGAGGTTGGCAGATCTGTAGCTAAAAAAAATAAGTGGTTGATGACTGCAGGTTCCACTTTGAGTCAGGCAAGTTGGCATCGTGTGAGCACAGCCTATCTGAGAGCTTCCACGTCATCTATTACAGAACTTCTCTTGTCCTCGTCCATGGCTTAGTATACAGTAAAGCCCGTGTGTGTCATATCACAAGCCACTTTTGCCCTGAATTGAGCCCTGCCTGCTCTGCCAAGGTGGGGAGCCAGTCAACACGGGGTAAGTGTGACAAGCCCAGAAATGTGCTCAGTGAAATCTGAGAAATTTGCGACGGTGCCACGACATCAGTGAATCCTCCTGTGATCCCTCAGAGGAAAAGTAATGGCCAGTGCCCCAAAATTTCAATGCAGACTGTTTGTAGTTGCTGCTGCTGCTGGACCTGCACAACTTTGCATCAGGCCAACGGAGATTCAGTAAGAGTCAGAACGAAACTGTTTACATTGGAGTGCCGTGTCTGGTGGATTCCCATTATGCAGGGCCCTCTTGACTTCAGTGGGACTGTCCCCGCCAGACAGAAAAGAACATATATACATATATATATACTAAATACTAATGTATCTATATGTATTACTTAGCATATTTAAGCATCATTGGATGAAGAAACAGATGTTGCCCAAAAAGGTCTTTCCTAAAGTATACCATATTTGTCAATTAAAAAAAATTAAAATGTCATTCTGTATAACCTTTTCTTTAAGAGATGGGGGGAGGGGCAGAGGAAGAGAAAGAGAGAGAATCTCAAGCAGGCTCCATGTCCAGTGCAGAGCCCAGTGTGGGGGCTCAATCTCACAACCGTGAGATCATGACCTGAGCCGGAATCAGGAGTCAGACGCTTAACTGACTGAGCCACCCAGGTGCCCCACATTTTGTAACCTTTGATTAACCATCATTTTTCCTATTTCGCTTCTCTCATTTGGGCTCATAGAAGACTTCATTGTACTCCCACCTGCTAAAGACGTCACAGTTTATGTGCACATGCTCAAAAATAGAGAATTGAAGTAAATTTTAAGAGAGCACAAACACACCACTTACCTTGATCATGTTGCTATTTCCCTGAAGATAGATTCAACATGAACTAGTAGAGCTGGTATGATTACCTGTTACTGCTTTGTGTGGATTTTTTTTCCATTATAGGCTCACATTCTGTTCTTCAGTATATTAAGAATGTCTTCTAACCTACATCTCAGGGATATGATAAGGATACGTGAAATACTATATGTTGATTACGTATTAAACGCATACGAAGAAAGATGGAACAATATGCTCCAAATTATTATTATTTGTAAATGGCATTATAAGATTTGATGTTTGGGTAGCTTTTGTTAGGTGTTGTTCATTTTTTTTTTTTTTTGAGATTTGTTTACTTATTTTAGGGCGCCTGGGTGGCTCAGTCATTAAGTATCTGCCTTCGGCTCAGGTCATGATCCCAGGGTCCTGGGATCGAGTCCGCATTGGGCTCCCTGCTCCGTGGGGAGCCTGCTTCTCCCTCTGCCTCTGCCTCTGCCTCACTCTGTCTCTCTTTATCTGTCTCTCATGAATAAATAAATAAAATCTTTAAAAAATAAGATTTATTTACTTATTTTAGAGAAAGAGAGAGAATGTGCCCACAAGTGGAGAGAGGGGCAGAGGGAAAGAGAGAGAGAGAATCCTCAGGCAGACTCCCCACTCAGCACAGAGCCCAACGCCAGGCTCGATCCCAGGACCCTGAGATCATGACCTGAGCTGAAATCAAGAGTCTGTGGCTTAACTCATTCAGCCACCCAGGCACCCTAGTATTGTGCATCTTCTGTTTATTTCACATGCAATGAAAATACCTTTAAAAACTTTTTCATAGTTTGAATTATATGAACACAATTTTATTTATAGATTCCACATTGGAATACGTATTATACAAAATAAAAGAATCGCATTGCTATTGCCCTCAAAGAGACTGAACTTAAACAGAAATTAAAAGGTCAGTAAATAACGCACACACTCTTATGTATGCTTGTCTGAGTTTGAACTGACTTTTGTGGTCCAGTTGCTAAACATTCGAATTGCTTAAATATTCATATACTAAGTCAATGCTTTTTTTTTTTTTAGGAATTAAAAAGTTCAATCCTACTTAGATTACTTAGATCCCAAGTATACATGTTAAACAAGTTATAAAACACAATTTTACATCTAAAATTGTGTTCCAGAGGCGGTTTATTTATCTTTTTATCATATTAAGAGCAGTTACGTTTTTTGTTCATATTTTGAAAGAATAGTAGACAATTTGCAAGTTAGGCTGTGAGTCACATGAGAGGAGATCAAAAAAAAAGAAAAGGAAAAGAAAAAGAAATGTATCTTATTCTGTTGTGAGATCAGTCTTACTGCTCTCTATTTTTCCCATGTCTAACACAGTATCTGAAAAAGTAGTTAGTAAATGCCCCTGGTATGAATGATGTGATTGAATGCATTTGAATGAATGAAGTAAATCTAATTCTCCCTTACTTTTTTTTTTCTTTTTTCCAGACTCCCAGGAAGGAAATTACAAGTCAGAAGTCAATAGTAAACCCAGGAAGGAAAGGACAGCTTTTACCAAAGAGCAAATCAGAGAACTTGAAGCAGAATTTGCCCATCATAATTATCTGACCAGACTGAGGCGATATGAGATAGCAGTGAATCTGGATCTCACTGAAAGACAGGTAAAGTTGGACATTGTTGTGATATGGTAGTTTTAATTGTGTTGAGTCAACAGTCTTCTCTCACCATTTCTGAAATATTTAGATCTGTGGTTCTTAGATACCATTTGGAAGACAGGTATTCTATTCCATGATGAAGTTTTGGCCCAGCAAAATGACAAAATTAAGGATAAGATAGTATTGTTTTAAGGAAAACTACATTTATTCAGTTTAAGGAATCATCCTTTATTATGTAATTGTGTCCTTCCTATATATTTTGGTTTAAAAATAATTATTTCTTGTATATAATGATGGCATACAGTGAGCAATCTTGTTTGCTTGTATTTTAAAATCTCCTTATTTTGGTATGATAGAAAGCTGCAACCCCATGTTAGTTTCCTCTTGCTCAGGACAGGGTTTGCTATGTAACACATTAACCCCCAGACCTCAGTGACATAACAAAAAAGTTCACTATTTGCTCACTCTCCATACTAACTTTACAAGTCCAGCATTGCAGACAATCACTCACTTACGGACACAGTCTGACTCTCTGGCAACTCGACATGTGGTGTCCTCGGTAACCACAGGAGGTAAGAAAGAGTTGGAGGTTCATGCATTGACCTTTAAATGTTTTCACCTGGAAATGACCCATGTCACTTCCATTTATACTCTAAGGTCCGGAAATCATCAGTGGTGCCACTTAAGTTCAAGGGGGCTGGGAAATGATGGGAGCAAGGGCATATAGATCATTGGTAAATATTTCCCAAAGATTTTTGAAATTATATTGTTCTCAAAAATTTTAAATTCTGACATCGACTCACTTAGAGAACACTTTGAAATTATTGATGATCCGTGGACCCCAGTTGATAAAACCTAAAAAATGCTTTTTAATTAATTACATTTTAGGTCCTTTCTTAGATTTTATTTGCTCCAATAGTGCTCCCAGTGCATTCTTTTTATGGATTCTGATTTGCCCTGGGAGAATCTAGCATACTGATGGTTAACAGTTGCTAATCTTTGGAAAAACATTCCTGAAAGGCAAATCCAAACATCTTTATGGACAGTGCAGTTATGATTGGCACTCCTAGGACTGGAGTCTCATTTCCTCTTTCACTGTATGCACCTTCTCCAGGGATCCCATTGGAACCAAAGAAATACCAACAGGGTGTGGACAAATGAATACTATCGTAGGAGAGCAAGTTATTTTATCCAATTTCTTAAATCATCTGCTTTCCTTCTTTTAATTTCTGGATTTCAGCTTTTGGTAGGATATTTCTGGGTAGTGGGAATATATCAAGAAACACTTTTATGTGGTTTTATTTATTGGCAGCTTATATTTTATTAAATATTATGGCTAGTAGCTAAGTTATAAAGCACAACATTTTCCTTCCCTTGAACTTCACATACAAAGTTCCCTCCGTAAGTGTACAACATTTGGCATGCTGGAAAGAAGAATCCAAAATCTACATTATTGGACATCTGTTTTATTTTCATTTTTTTAAACACTGGGAGCAGATAAAGAAAAGAAGGGTGGGGAGGAATTACATGTTAATGTCCTTATATATATCAGTGAATTCTAGGAAATGCAATCATGTTTTATATGATACATAAAGGAAACAAGCTAGGATTTGCTTCCAAGCTACAGAAATAATGGGATGCAGTACTATACCCTTGAAGTCAAGAGAAAAGTGAAGATTCTGTGCTTGCTATCCTGGGGATGGCTTTGGTTACCTGTGATTATCTGATTATAAGGCAGAGGTTTCACTTTTGGTTTAGAGTAATTTATTTTTAGAAGCAACTCTAGAAATTTGGTCTGGGAATTTTTTAGGTATTTTCGATATGTATTTTTCTTCCTGAGTTGCCATTTATAGAAAATAATGATATGCAATTTTAAGCAGAATTATACACACACACACACACACAATTTTAATCTTGTTTTTGTTTTTTAAAGGTCCCTTTTTGGTTTTGTATCAGTTAGCCTTTGCTATGTAACAAACCATTCAAAAATCTTAGTGGTTTTAACCAATAACCAATGTTCAGTTTGCTCACAATTTTGTAGGTCAGTGATTTTGACGAGGCTCAATTGGATAGTTACACTGCTGGACTTACCTAAATCCCTCATAGAGCTGTAGTCACCTGGTGGGTTTGAAGAGCTGATTGGTCTAGATAGCCTCAGCTGGGACACTTGTCTCTGTTGTGTGTGGTTTCATCTTCTTCTGATAGGTTCCCTGGGACTTTTCAAATGGGGATAGAAGCATTGCCAGAAGTAGAAGAAAAATTCCAGTGTACAAGGGCTTTCAAAGACTCTGCTTACCTCACATTTATTATGCCTCACTGTCTAAAGCAAGTCATATGACCAAGCACAGTGTCGACGTAGAAGGGGACCATCTAAAGGAATGGATACACGGAAGGAAGGCAACATTTGTTGGAGGCCATTACTAAAATGATCTAACTATAGTGTCATAGGGGAAAAAACAAACAAACAAAAATCCTTGAGATATAATTGGATTTTCAAAGAACTGAAATTTTGTTTTGTGCAGAAGATTTTTTTATCCTATAAATGTGTATTTCCAATTTTGCAAGTTAATATGAAAAGGAGATTCATTTATATGGAATCCAAATTCCCACAATCAAAATTAAGTCTTTAGAGGGCCACTATGTGTTAGTAAGAAAAAATTGAATTATTATGATAAAAATTTGAACAAAACGACTAGATTTTCCAATTGGAATTGTGTATTCTTAGGCCAGTAACAATCTCCCTAAGGCATAAAATGGAAATTAAAACTACCTTCTCTTGCTTCTACTCAGGTTTATATGTCATAATGGGTATGAAAGGATTTCTAGCATAAACTATAAAACACAGTTGTCAACCAAAGGGGGGAAATGTCTACCATTCAAGGTATAGTGAATTAATTATTTTGTAACACAAATATTTGTTGAGTTAGATGCTAGAAGTAAAACCTTGCTAAAATAAGCTAGACAAGGGGCGCCTGGGTGGCTCAGTTGGTTAAGCAACTGCCTTCGGCTCAGGTCATGATCCTGGAGTCCCGGGATCGAGTCCCACATCGGGCTCCCTGCTCAGTGGGGAGTCTGCTTCTCCCTCTGATCCTCCCCCTCTCATGCTCTCTGTCTCCCATTCTCTCTCTCAGATAAATAAATAAAATCTTTAAAAAAATAAAAAAAATAAAAAAAAATAAAATAAGCTAGACAAGTTTTTGCTAGAACATGGGAGAGGCAAAGATTGATGAAGTACTAACAATCGTGATGAGTGTGGAATATTACAAGAGAGGAATGACAGGGTTGTATAGGAGAATGTTCCTGATTCTGCCAGATTTCATTTTATTCCTAGACTTCTGTGTACACACAGTATCTTAAAATTGAGTATCTGAAGGCTTTATTTATATCTTCTGGGATGAATTTTACTATGCTAAATTTATCAGAAAAATATTGTATGCTGTCAGTCATCAATTTTACTCTTCTTAAAGGTCTGAAAGCATATTCCTTCAAGATGCAAGAGCTTTTGTCCCAGTGAGATATTTTCAGTTTATTTTCTCAAGCCTGGGCTTTTAAATTTATAAATATAGAATTATAAAATGAACCCATTTCATTCATCTTCTTTTAATTGTGACACAATTCCATCACTTTAATTTTGCACTAATGCTATACCTACTTATCTATGTAATCTATATCCTAACCCCATATATTCTTAAATAACATCCCTTGTATAGGATTTCCTGATGTAAAATATTCTAATTATAGACATGTACTTTTTTCATTTCCATTCTGCAAGATTTATCTTTCCATACTTTAAAATAACCTGAGACTTATATCCAACTCCATATTTTACAGTGTTTTCCTTAACTTTAATAGAATTTTCAATCTCCTACAATGTTTTTTCTTGACTTTGTAAAAGCTTTTCAAGACTCAAATGCAAAGGTAGAATTCATATGTGTATAATGTAAAAAGAAAAAAATAAATATTAAATAATCTATAATAATTTATGGTGGAATTGTTTCACAGAAATAACTTTCTCCTAAATGAAAATTTAATTTATAATCAGAAGTAGTCTTTAGATGTACTTTCATCTAGGAATTTTATATAATTGCCTATTAAATATGCCTATGTATAACTTATATGTTATTTGTACATACCCCTACTTTGTTTATATCATGAATCAACATACTTGCTACATTTTATTATAGACCACGTACATGTCATTATAAAGACTTACTATAAAAAAACAGATTTGCTAGGATGATTAGGTTTCCTTTAAGGAAAAAAGTAAGATTAAATCCTTAAATATCACTCAGGACCTGAATTTTCAAATCCCTACCTGAAGAACAGTTCTGCAATTTTGCAAAGAAGTCAGATTCTTAATGCTTGTGTCTCCCATAATGCAATGCCTTTACAGGTCAGGGAAGTCTATAATCCCCTTTGAACTCCATCAGGTCAAAGAAGAAGAAGAAGAAGAAAAAAAAAAGAGGCTCATTCTGCAAAGTAATTCCACATTAGCACATAGGTATTAAAGAAAATTATGTTAAATAAAAATGGAGATACTAGAACACAGTTGAGCTTCAAATATTTTTAATTACATAATGCTGTTGTGTGGAAGTTACCATTCTAGTATCTCCCAGCTTCTAATGTAGAGTTTCCATTTTACAACATATTCTTACATACCCTCCTCCATCAACAGCTAATAAGCCTCAGTTGGCAGAGCCACTTGGAATATTTTGAAGAGCCAGTCTAAAGACCCTCCTGTCCCAAGGTATTTTTACATTTGACATGCTTATTCTGGCCTTTTCATCCGTCCAGACACACTTGGAGAAAGCTGCTGCCAATTTTGTAATATCTCACAGTGGGAAGAAGAGAGAAGGCAGCTGCATGAAACTATAACAGGAGTGACAAAATGGACATTTTTATACAGCTAAAGCTGCCAAATATAGGAAGAATGGGAGAGATCCTTTCATTTCACAAGGCTAATCAAAGGTGCAATGTTGCAGATTTGTAAACTAGCAAAGATTACT